GCTTGCCTCCTGAGAACCGTCACTGGCACCCCAGCGCTTCAGTCCCGTCGAAGACGTAGCGCTCTTCCGTATTTCATTTCCTGCGTCTTCTTTTAACTGGTACTTCTAGCCAACGCTCCCCTCTCCCCTCCTTCCGTCCCCGTGCGCCACCATGCTGCACGTTCCATTTTCTGTATTTGTAATTCTCTAGGTGGTAGTGTATGCTGTGCATTTATGGCGAATAAATGTCTTTGTGTTTCGCTGAAGCGAGATGCGCTTCTCAAGTGCTCATGATGTTACTCATTTCTGTTTCCTGTGCCCAATGGTATCAACTAGAACAAGCGAGAAGCAACAGAGCACTTGCTACTACTGCACATGAAATTTCACAGACATAATGCCTTCGAGCCCAAATTCAATGCAGTCACCGGATTTGACTGCTGATACGCCAGCTGGTGTGCCAGTCAGCAAGACATCACCCGGTTCCATCGTCACGTGCGTTGTCAGGTGTTCGATCAGTGTTGGTATGTCAAATATCATAGCATTCGTTTTACAACGCTGCCGCTCTTCGCCATTGACTCGACAGAACAGCTCTACGTTACGTGGGTCGGGAATTCTGCGCGCCTCGATAAAATCTCCTGCCGGGCAGGAAGTGTCAAACGATTTCGACAAAAACCATGGCGCCCCTGCCTTCTTTGCTTCATCCTGCAACTGGTGGAATCGCTTCGCGAAAGAGAAAAAAAAACAGTTCGCAGAAACCGTTGTGTATAAGGGATGGAAGTAAAATACACAGAGCAGTTTCAGGATTAGAATTAAAAAGAAAAACCTGAAAATCCCGCGCAGTCATGTCCAGTGCGACGGTGTAGCCACCAATGTAGTTGAATGCCTGATTACGTTGCACATTTTTGGCATGCTTGCTAAAAACCACGCCTAGTTCTACTTCCTGGTGTAATTTGTTACAGCCCGCCGGTGCAACAATTGGCCGCCCTTCTGATACATAGCTGTTCACGGATTTCACAAAAAACAGCGGCTTCTTCGGCACAGCATTTCCCAGTTCCAAAGCATGGTCCTTGAACAATTTTTTAAAGTTACTAATAAATGGCCAGTGCACCGACTGTCGCTGCGAAGATGCGTTTTTTGCATAGTTCCCGTAGG